GAGTTATGCCGAAGCGCCGAGATTAGCGTGGGACAAAACTTTTGTGAGGCACCTCCGTACTGCGTTGGTCTAAATTCAGATCCCCCTTCCCACCCCAACAACATTTAAATTTTTCTAAACCACGCATCAGGGGCGATTGCACAGGGGTAGACGGGTTTGGCCGCGCTCCACGTTACATTTGGCCGGGTGGGTCAATTAACACATCGCACTCTCCTGATACAACGCTGATATCAGCCAGTCTTTCAAAAAGTACTTAAGGATAACACGGCACCACCACCGGCATACATCCTCTAAACACACGACATCCCCAAGCACCGACCACTCCAGTCGCGCATCCAAACATGAAGCTGCTTACCGCCTTGTTCTATACGGCTTCCCTTGCGCTTACTTGTGCCGCCCAAAATGAAGGTCTCAAGTGGGTTACGTCACCGACACTTCGCAAAGATGTACAATACCTGGGCATGTCGGCCATCAACAAGGACGTAGTTTGGCTGTCCGGCACCCACGGCACCATCATCCGCACTACCGACGGCGGTGCGCACTGGGAAGACGTTCCTTCTCCCGTAAACGCTTCTGAAAAGTATTCCGTCACGTTCAAGGCCATCCACGCCTTTTCAGACAAGTTTGCCGTCGTCCTCGCCGATGGTGCAGGCAGCCATTCTCGCATATTTCTGACTGGCAATGCCGGCGAGCGCTGGAGGCAGACTTTCACCAACAACGAACAGGCCGCCAACTACCAATGCATGGGCTTTGGCTCCACCGACGGAAGGCGCGCGATGGGTGTCGCAGCCAGTGGGCCCGTCAACGGTCGGCTCCGCTTGATCCAGACTATCGATGCGGGCGAGACGTGGACGCCCGTGTCGCAGGCCAAATTCCCCCTCACCGAACCGGACGAAAAGCTGCTGCCAGTGAGTTCGTGCGTCACCGTGAGCCCTTACGGGGTATACGTTGCTACCGCCGACACCAAAAGCGGACGCACCCACAGCACCGTCAACGACAACCTTGCACTAGGTTGGCAGGCCACAAGCGCAAATCTCACCGCAGGCGTGGCTGGCGGCGCAAGCAATGTGGCGTTCCACGCCAATGGCCTGAACGCCGTCGTAGTCGGTGGCCCTATTAGCTTCTCGTCTTCCAACAGCACGCTTGCTTCATGGGCTGCCCTTGGCGGTGACTACTGGTACCGCAGCACCGGCGCACAAGGCACCTTTCTCTCGAGCGCCAGCTGGGCGCCTCTGAGGAGTCAAGTTGCTGTTGCTGTGGGACCCGACGGATCTGTTATTACCCATGATAGCGGCAAGACTTGGGAAGCGCTGGGCAAAGAGTCCTTCACCAGAGTTAGCTGCAACGACCAGGATATGTGCTGGGCGGCGGGAGAGGGTGGAGTGGTTGGCAAGTTGGACTTGAGCGTGCTTAGCTTTCGCTAAACGATTGGCTGTATGTATATAGAGAGAGACTTTGGCGAGATGCGTAACGAGTCGACCATTTGATCATGAGCATAGCAATGTCAATACGAGTGTTAATGCCATGATTTATTCGCCAAGCGCACGTGCTTGTTGGTGACAAGTGATGCGATACAAATGACAGTAGTTCCATCTGGAGAGACATATAGGTATACTGAGTCCATTGCCGCCAAAAAAAATATGTGGCTCGCGTCGCGCGTCTCGTAACGTCAGCCCTTCTAATGGTGGTTGTCGAACCAGTCGCCATTGTCTACATGACATGGCTAGTCGTGTATATTTGCTCCTCGTTCAAATCAAAAGATGAACCATACCATCAGCATTCAGAGTAATACCTGGTATGCATTTTCTATGGTCATATCATCATTCATCTCACCGCTGTACCCTTCCACCTCATTCTCCCCTTCGCATCAGCTTCTCCCTTCTCCGCCTTGTTCCCATTCAACACCACGCTTCTCGCATCGCCCCTTGGTAAAACAACATCCAGTGCCGACCACGCTGGCTCGAATCCCGCCTGCAGCTTCTCTTCGTACTGTACCAAGATCTCTGCATCCGTAGTTTCGTACTTGACTACAAAGACAGAGATCTTTGCAGGCGCCGGCGACACTCCATCGTCCTCGTACCACGTCGTCGTGTACACCTTACCCCCAGATGACCCTTTTGGCGGGAACACCTCCACAGCGCGGTAATCGTCGCGCAGGAGATTAGCTGGATTGCTCTTGTCGCCTACAGAAAGCACTGGCTCTGCCCTTCCCACAGGGATGGCTGATCCAACCTTGGCGAGCACCGGTATGCTTTCCGTCCACTTGGCTTTCACGTCGACCCATTGTCCTGCCTGGTAATACGTCTGAGGCTCGTTGTTGAGATCAAGGAACGCTGCATTGGGATCTGAGGCGTCCTTGGGAAGATACATTTTTGCACTTTCGGCACCGGCCTCGAAGACGCCGCCAACGAGAAGCGCGTCGCCTAGCCAGTATTGTGTTTCACCGTCTGTAAGTGTCCTGTTGCTCCAGATCTCCGCATCAGACTCGTAGCCCCAGCCGGTCCAGCGCTGGGGCGGGGTAGCCGTCATGTGTGAGTGAAGTGCGAGGGAGTAGAGGTAGGGAATCATTTCGTAGCGGCGCTTGATGATGTCTCTGACGAGTGCTGTCGTCTCCGGGTACATCCATGGCTCGATTACGTCGCCGACGCTGTTGTCGTTTCCTGTCTTGAAGCAGTTGATTGCGAACCGAGGACTGTAGATGCCTTGTTGGCACCAGCGGACGAGAAGCTCGGGAGTGGGTTGAGGCCCTTCGAAGCCGCCAATGTCGTGGCCGTAGCACTGCATTAGGCAGACTCCAGCGGTGAGGGAGAGAGCGTTTGCGCCTTTCATGCCTGGCCATGAAGTCACGTTGTCTCCACTCCAGGCGCTGGCGCAGTAACGTAGAGTACCAGCTGTGGCGCTGCGAGTCAGGATGAAGGGCCGCTGCTCTGGTTCAATCTCCAGCGATGCATCGTGAGAGGATTTACCCATGAGCTCATTGTTCAGTGCGCGACCCCAGAATCCAATCTCTTGGCCATAACTCTTGTCCTTTGGCTCTTGAGTGACGGACGGCTCGGAAAGTTCGCATTGCCAGCCATCATGAGGAATAGTGTACTCGTTGTTGTCGTTCCAGATACAATCGATTCCTATCCGCTTGAGTTCACGGATGCCCTCGTACCACCACTGGTACCCAGCTTTCGATGTAAAGTCAATGTGTCCACCAACACCGCTCTCGCCGCCGCCTGCGCTCCAGAGACGAGCTTCAGCAGACGCCTTTGTCAGCGAGTCGGTGAAGAAAGCATTGGCAGCCTTCAGCTTCTGATACTCTGGGTGACTACCAAGCACATATGGCTTTACGTTTGCAATAAGACGGATTCCCTCCTTGTGATACGCGTCGATCCAGCCCTTTGGATCGGGAAACCGGTGGCGATTCCATGTAAAGACATTACGCGTCTTTGGCTCCGTCTCGGCAACTGTGTAGCCAGAAGACATTTGCATTCCTGAGCAAGGAATATCATGTTGCTTCAACTTTGCAGCAAATTCCATCATACTCTGACTCGCTGGCGGGTCATCTGTCATAGAGTACTTCATCCCGCCGGCCAGATAGCCAAACGCCCATCGCGGCACGAGCAATGGGTAGCCGACCAGATCAGCGTAGATACGAACGATATCCGGCAATGTCTTGCCTACGAGGAGATACTCTTCCAGACCACCGTAGTCTTGGCGGTAGACCTTGAAACGGCCCCACATGCCGTCCATCTCAGAGCCAACCGAGTAAAAGCCACGCGCATGTGAGGTAGAGAAGATACCCACACAGCCATCTGGCGTAGCATTGATGAGCAGTGGAATGTGCTTGTACATTGGATCCGTCCGGTATACGTCATAGCCAAAGGAATCAGTTGCCGATAGCACAAAGTGACGGTTTGAGAGATCCATGGGCGCTGGCTTCTCGCCGAGTCCAAGATGTAGCGTGCCATGGTTGTAGCGTGTGTAGTGGGAAACTCCAGGCCCATCAGCGACGTAGGAGCGATTGGGCAAATCGGAATGGATTGGTTTTTGTTGACCGGGAAGCGTCAGAGAGACGAGAGGGAGTCCGCTTTCCCAGTCTACGCTCGCAGTTATGCCATGGACTTCGAGAGTCTTTGCAGCTGCGCTCGACGACAACACTCGAGCGTTGGCGTCGTCCAGCTTCTTCTCGGGCACCGGGGTAGCTCGATGAGGCGGGAGCAAGTGTTTCGGTGAAGTAAAGGTAGTGCGGAAGAGACCCGGTTGCAGCGCATCAAATGTGAACTTGAAGTCGCCTACATTTGACTGCAGCTCAACGCCCGTATTTGATGCTGCTGTGGCAGTGGCGGCTTGGTAGCCGGCGGGGACATGCTCAAGCATCGGCATGACGAAAAGGGAATCTGATGAGGCTGGAAAAACCTGCTAAACACGGCCACTACAGTCAACTGACATTTATAGCAAAGGTTCGAGGTCGGCAATTGCCCGATGGTGACATTCGGTAGCCGAAGGAATAATGCACGTCTCGTTGCGAAGCCGCCCGGGTACCCGCCCATCGCTAACTTCGGCCGAAGCCCGCACCCGATCAGTCCCAAAGCAGTCAAGATTACCGTCTGGGGTCCCCGTGGGGAATTAGTATAAGTGCTGTCGGCCAAATTCACTGCTGCACCCGTCATAGTTTCTGAGAGACATCATCGCACTCTCACCCCTTCTTTTCTTTCATCATGTCTCAGAAACCAGAGGTGGCTGAGAGTGCCGCCGACATTGGCACCAAGCCCGACGTCGAAACCACCGAGTCGATCCACAAGGCCGGCGGTGCCAAAGGCGGAAAAGGAAGAGATAAAGCTGCTGAGCTACTCGCATCAAGCGAACGTATCGTCGTCACGTCAGAAGACAACAAGCGGGTGCTGAAGAAGATTGATCTCGTCATCCTGCCCATTCTCCTGAGCGTCTACTTCCTCCAATCCCTCGACAAGACGACTCTATCCTACGCCTCGGTTTTCGGTCTTATCAAAGATGCCAAACTCGACCCAAACTCGCAGCAGTACTCCTGGCTAGGAAGCATCGTGTACATTGCGCAGTTGGTAGCGCAGCCCCTCGTTGCATTTCTGCTCGTCAAGCTGCGAATGGGCAAGTTTATTGGCGCCATGGTCTTCACATGGGGTTGTATCCTTTGCTGTATGGCGGGTGCAAAGAACTTTGCCGGACTCATGGCGACGCGGTTTCTGCTGGGTGCTTTTGAGGCTGCAGTTGGTAAGCTTGACGAATCTCTGTGTCAGTGTTGCATACTAATTCTCGCCTAGCTCCTGCTTTCATTGCCGTCGTCCAAATGTGGTACAAGCGCGGTGAACAAACGAACCGGAACGCGGCCTGGTACGCCATGCTGGGTATTGTCAACATCCTTGGTAGCTTGCTATGCTATGGCCTTGGACACATCAACTCGGACCTCCTGCACTCGTACCAAATCATCTTCCTTTTCTGCGGACTTCTTACTGTCGTTGTCTCGATATTTGTCTGGATTTTCATGCCCGACTCGCCCATGGAAGCCAGTTTCCTGAATGAACACGAAAAGCTCATCGCGGTAGAGCGTCTGCGCATGAACCAGATGGGTGTCGCATCGCGAGTCTGGAAGTGGGATCATGTACTCGAGGCGTTCCTAGACCCAAAAACATGGCTCTGGTTCTCCATGTTGACGGCCATCAGCATTCCCAGTGGCGGCATCAGCGCATTCGGTCCGTTAATCATCGAAGGATTCGGGTTCGGCAAGTTCGAGACCATCTTGTTCAACATGCCGTTTGGCGTGGTGCAGATCGTGGCAACAGTAGGCGGCGCATGGCTAGCTACACGGCTGAAGAAGAAGTCGCCGGTGCTTATCCTCTTGTGCATTCCTCCAATTGCCGGCATCATCATCCTCATGGTCGTTGGTCGCGGGGCGTCAAATCGCGGAGTCTTGCTCTTTGGATACTACTTGACATCCTTCTATCCTGGTATCTCGCCACTTATCTATTCGTGGTCGGGTCAGAATACCGGTGGAGACACCAAGCGCAAGGTCACTACCAGTATCCTTTTCGTCGGAGCCAGTGCAGGTAACATTATCGGGCCCCAGCTGTTCAAGCCCTCCGAAAAGCCATATTACAAGCGTGGTCTCCGCGCAAACCTTGCTCTCTTCATCACAATCATTGTGTTGATCTTGATCGCAGTGGTATGGATCAAACTGCTCAACCGCAAGCATGCTGCGACGCGAGAGAGCATGGGCAAGTCAGCCGTCGTCGTCGACACTAGTATGGGCTCTGCCCGCGAAGGTAGCGCCGAGGAAGCCGAGATCGAAGCAAGCGGCGTAGGCGACAAGGCCTTTGATGACGTGACCGATATCAAGAACGAAGATTTCATCTACGTTTATTAAGAGGCGTGTTTCAGCGCTCCAGGGCTGACAGACAATAATTTCGAATTGGAATAGCATATATAGATCTATCCATGTCTTCTAATTGTTTTCGGTCGTGTGTCCCATTTTGCTCGTCAAGATCAGAAAAGACTGTCGATATTGACAAACAAATCCTGCCATCCCACAGGCATATGCTTGAGATTGAGCCCCGGGAAGTCCCATTCAAACATAAACTCGCGTGGTACGTAGCCTTGGAATTCGCTTTCGGCAGCGCCTCCGCCTCTCTGGGACGCGGCCATGGTCTCCAAAGCATGATTCTGCTCGACAGAATATTCCCGCAATGCAGCCTCGCACTTCTCAATGCTAGTCTGAAGGATCTGGAAGCAAGCTATATGCCCTACGGTTACCGTTTTGAGCTCTTCCAATACTCGGTGGGCGTCGCGGAGAAGCGCCATGACGGAGGCGGCAGGATCGCGGAGAAGGATAGCCAGTCTCAGAACAAGCAAAACCGAAACGGCGCACTTTGCCCAAACATAATCAAGAGTCCATCTGAAGGTACTGAGATATGTCGATCCAATCGTGTGGGTCGATGATGCTGGTGAGGAGTCTGGGGTAGACGTATACGACTGCAGCATGTACTGTAGGTGTCGACTGGCTGCATCTTTGGCTTTGCGTATAAAGTCTCTCTGGAACTCGGTCATAAAGGCAACATTCTCGATACCAGAAGATGCAACTGCCTTGAGGTGTAACGTCATCATGGCCCATTCGCGTTGAATATGAAGGTTTTGCAATGCCAAGGCACGCTGATGTGGTGCAAGCTCGACCAAGACGATGTTAGTCCATTCCTCGAGCCAAAGAGAGAGCTCAACGCAGGTGTTTTCGACTGTGCTTTGGACTTGGCTTTCGGTTTCTTGGAGCAGAAAATCATCGCCGTTCCGTCGCACAATCTTAGCGTATGCTTCTGTGCGGATCAGGTTGAGCTCCACCTGGGAGAGCAGCCGGATATCGACAGCTGTGCGTTCGGGATGATTCAGAAGACTTCTGATCTTTCTAGATGAGGTATGCAGGGTCAAGCCCGGGAGCTTACCCCCATCGAGCGAGAAGCTACTCTGCGTCAGGTGACCAACTTCAAATCTACATAGACCAGTGCTCACAAGAGTTCAAGGTTGCAGATGCCGTGCCAGACGCGGGACAGACGATACAATTCTTGATCATCGCCACTAATAGGCCGGGAGCGTGGATGCCCCTTGGCAATGAGCTGATCCACTGCTCGAGGCAAATCAAGCTGTATGGCGAAACGAAGTGCCGTTGCGACCAAGAGAAACCCGTTTTCGGAGTATGCAGCAACCAGTGCAATGGCTTGTATGTCTTCCACACTGGGCATGCTCGTATTGATGAGCAGATTGCTGATGTGGTCGCGGACCCGCGACTGAAGTTGGCGGTAGATGGTTGTGTTGAAGCCTTCCTCAGCGCGGCAGCCAATACTGACTATGGCGTCGAAGAGGACTGCACTTCGCGAGGAGACGGACGTGAGAGTGTCATACCTCTCGCAGAAAATGGGCACCAAGTATTGCTAATCTGCTCAGCGTAATTTCCTTCGAGGCAAGTGGATGTCTTACGCTGCCGGAGAAAAAACTAGAGCATGGTCAGCCTTGCGTTGCTAGTGGCACAGAATACACTGCGTATTTACCTCTGGAACCAACGAGCGGCCTGCTCCCACGTGATGAAGCCAACGTCGACGGCACTGCCGACTGCGTTGCGTTCGGGCGGGGAGCGAGGCGTAATGTCTGCAACGGTGACGCTGGGGTGGTCCGAAGACGACTGGAATGGTAGCATAGTTAGCGATTGCCTCGAAGTGTTGCGCCACGTGGGTTGGGGGCTCTTTTGCATCCATCCATGGCTGCAGTGCAGCTTGGATGGCAGACTTGGGACACAGCATGTAGCACTACTGCAAGCCACGACATGTTACTCACGCTAGTTTTCCGACATGGCATTTGTCTGGTGCTGAGCTGCTGGCGAAGAGCCGCCATTTCGGCCTCTAGCCTCTCGATGCGCAGTACATTTTCGTCCTTGACGGCGTCAAAGTACTGGCAGGCAACGTCATTCCTGTCGCAGCGCTGGCACGGGCGATTTCCGTCGCAGCGCACTTTGGACGTCCGGCAATTGGCACAGGCATTGATAGCACGGCGTTTGCGCGGTCGTGATGAGGTGTGTGCGTCCATTCGGGAATCTTGCGCGAGAGGGCCTCGTGGTGGGCTGACCCGGTTTTTAAAAGCCTGAGCAGGTCGGGGGTGGGCCCAGCGGAGAGGCGGGGGAGCACACTCGAAGCCCTGAGTCGTGGTGTCGGCGGCTGAGGCGACCATCGGCTGAGGGCCTGGGCAACCGTTTCCTCGCGCTGTGCTAGGCAGCTTTCAGCGCCTCCGGAATCATCGTGATGTAGCAAATTTGCTGTCAAGCCCCGCAACAAGCTTCTCCGACGCAGCAGTGGCGGAGCCGCACTTGTTGTCTCGGGGCGCGGCCACCTCTCAACCTGCTCTGCTCTGCTCTGCTCGAACAGGCGTTGTCACGCCACTTGGTCACTTGGCGCTGCTCCAGCACAATCTTCCCGGTACGCAGACCATAGTATTGCCATAGGTTCAGTTATGTGCCTGTCGAGACGCCCTTCAGTCGGGCGCCCTGCGCTACCTATAAGTAGCCATTCCATAGGTAGTAGCTCTTCTTGGCAGCTTCAGTCGCGTAAACGTTTCCTTCTCGTGGGCCTCTGTCACGCCCGTTCACCTGTCGCCACGGTCCCAGGTCTCTGTAATCAATCGATCTACCAGCACTAGCAGGGCTGAATCGCGTACGTACTGCAGTTTGGCGCCGCTACCGCCTACCGGCGTCATCGCATGCACGGCATTGGCATCGCCCACAACCGTGACGCGTGTATCATTGGGCCATTCAGGGATGCCGTTGAGAGAAAAACAAGTAATCTTCCAGAAGGTTGCCTGGGATTCGCTCATCTTGTCGTAAAGAGGCCTGACGCGCGTAGTTGTCGCTGAGTAAATAAGCGATGTCCGTGTCGCCAGCGTCGTGGATGTCTGACTCGTGAATCTCGCGAGCCAATACTGTAGACGTTGACGGCGCCGTTGAACAGCTGCCGAGCGACTGCCTCGCCACCGATCAACATCGATCTCTCTTGGCTTGTAGGTGTACGGTGTACTGTCGGCGGTAAAGACCAATGGTACCCGCTTGTCCGTCTTCTCATAGCTCATAATGCCGTAGTCCATAGGGTCATGTTTCCACCATACCTTTTATTCCAGGCGCTCGGTCAAAAGCTTACGCATGTCCCCACACGAGATGCTGATATGAATACCCTGATATTTCCATCCCTGTTGATCAACGGCTCGCTCTCCACCCTCGACACTCGGCTCGTTTCCCTCGAGTAATTTCTGGAAGTCGGCAGGGCCGAGAACGTCTTCTATCGCGTCGATGCCTTGGCTTCAGAGGCGCAGGCGATAGCCGTGTGCGCGGCATAGAATGGACGCTTCGCGGTCGAAGACGAGAAACGGGATCCTGGAATGGTGCAGTGGCCGGGCGACGACGAGTGAGACCAGAGCGGCGCCAGCAACGAGAGCCGGCTTGGAGCTTTCATGGCGGGATAGAGCGCGATGCAAAAGGGCATCTTGTTCCGCAGAAAGGCGACATGGCGGCGGCGGCTGTTGATATATACCAGGCGTGTTGGGTGTTTGGGGAAGCCCAGTGTGTGGCGTCACGTCGACCATTAGGCAAGTAGGGGGGGGAGCCTTGCCAACCAGCCAATGAAGCCCATTGCTGGTGCCCCCCCCCCAACAACGGCTGTACATGTACAAGTAGTGAGTGCAATTCCATTGCGAGGAACTTGGCCGGTAGGACACACAGCTGTTTGGGTGCAATTCCATACATAGGTTGCCCCTCTCCAACACAGCGAGTGGCCAAACCATCATTTTCTAGAATGGCCACAAGATATGCAAAAACTATATTGTTCACCATCTTAAATAACCCAACAGCATATCGTCTTGGGTTGCAACGACGTCCATTGGATTGTTGGGAAAGTAAGGGGGTAAAACTACAAGAAATATGTTGGGCGTGTGTTGCGCGAGTAAGTTGGAACTCTGCGGGTTAGAGTCCTCAGCTTCGACGGGTGCAGCGGTAGTGACTGAGAAAAGCTCAGCAAGGCTAGAATATTGGAAACTCTGATATTGAAGAGCGGTTGAATGCAAATCGTAGCCGCCGTCGGATTGGGACTTGTACCAGGAATGGTTTTGTCAAACTGCAGGCTATGTAAGCATTGTTCAAAGGTGTAATGCATGGAGCAGGCTTTCTCCCACCACACTCCTATGTGACAACTCAATAAAACATGGTAACTCTAGCATAAGGGCACGGCTTCCTTCTCAACAAACACCGTCACGCCCAAAACTCACCCCATACACGGACAAGCAGTGCTACTAACTCCCCTTCCCATACACTTTGCACAAGGGCCAATTACCGTCCCCGATCCACGACACATCATACACCGAAACGCATTAATGCCATTCGCAGCGCGGTGGACACCTCGCCCATTACACTGCTGGCACTGCGCGTGGCGGCGGCCTGTGCCGTTGCAGCGGTCGCAGCGGATGGGGAGACGGCGTGTGTTGCGGCAGCGGGGGCAGTTGTTGTAACGCATTAGGGGGAGGTGGGTTGGAAGAAGTGGCGGCGGCAGCGGTAGCGGCGAGAGCTGGATGAAGTGATGGCATAATCTTTTAGCGAATGTGTTTGCTTTGGAACGGGACGAGAGTTCTGCTCTTGATGGTTTTGGAGGAAATGCATACTCACTTCTTGACTCTTGGGCTCGGAGTGCAATGCAAGCGCTTCAGCCGCCTAGATTTGAGCGAGATCAAGAACGAGTCTTCTCAGGCTGTCTTTCAGCCTGATGGAATGCTACATAACCGCTAGCTGAGGGGCTGCAGCCATGTGGCTTTTCCCTCCAACGGTAGATTATCATTAGGCTGAGACGAGGGGGAGGAGGCGACTTGTCTTTCCCTCGCATTGGACCATGTTCAGCATCGTTTCTCTACGAGAAAATCTGCGAAAACGGCCGCCATGCGTGTTGCTCTGAGATTTGGGATAGCTTGTGTTGAGAGCATCAATCTCTCGATACCCATCACATGCCACGCGAACGCTGACGGTATGGCGAAATGGTAGGCCCGGTAACCGTGTCGAATACTCGGGGCGCGTAGACGGCATGCTCGAACACGCGTCGCTGATTCGTGACTACTAGATGCCGTGTCGCACTGCATATCAGGTGGCGTTGGAGAAGACATTGCATTATGTAGCTAACGCCGTCTACCGATAAACAAAGATAGGCGCGCATCACAAGGCTACCGCGCCAAAACACGAAGCAAGGCTACGTGTATCCGCTTTCCCGTTACTCGGGCAGCGACACCGAATACGCCGACTCCACTTTACCACAGCTGTGGACAAGGCCTATGTACTTATGTCAACACCATCTCAACATGCGTTGCTGCGCCATCCTCCTGCACCGCGTCACGCTCTGATGTGCATCATGTGCTTTAGCCACCAAATGCAGTGACGTGGACAAAGCCTTTTTGCGGCATGATGCCGACTGTCCAAGTCACAGCGCCTCAGATGGCGCAGCAGGTGAGCGCAATAACAAGTCCACAATGCGGTGTGGTACATGGTACTGGTGGTTCGAATGCTTACCACCGTCTTTCGCGACGAGGCCATGTTGTCTTTCGCAAGACATGTCAACAAGGATCGGCGATGGTCCCCGTCGTATTCGTGCCGATATTACAACGAAGACGTCCGGGCAGCGTCGGATTGGGCTGTTGTGCCGTTTGATGTCTTTCTGCTAGGGCCTAGGCCCCACGTGTGTGTAGCATGTGCCGGTTGCCCAGCTACGGGTATAAGGCGCTAGCTCTATGACATGCATTCGGTTACAAATTGATGATGGCAGGCCAATGCGGACTAGTGTCCGAGAACTAGGGTCTCCGACTTACATGTGCATGCGCTTGAGCGAGAAGGATTTGCTGCCAAGTGTGGCTGGCCAGTCAAACGTAGTCGGATGGTCGTATACAGGTTTTCGTATACGGGCTTTCGGATTCCTCCATTTGTCTTCGGCACACGCCAGATGCGGCAAAGGTGAGCTGACAACCGTGTGATGGGTTTGCATTCAAGACTGCTTCCCACCGTTGTCGGAACATGGCTTCGGCAGCATGGTTACCGGACCACAGGACCTGTTCAAGGTGGGGAAGGATATCCGTCCAAGTGTGCAGGTCCGAGTACCCACCGAGCGCCTGGGCTTGACCATGAAACCAGAGCCCATCCGGCGTGTCAGCTGATGCAACCAGGCCTACCGATACAACCCATAAAGCGATGGATGCGTGGCCGACGGATACTGGGTCGGGTGTGTCTTCCAGGCGAGCTCTGAGTTTGGAGACCAGGTTCAATTGCAAGTGCGCATGGGTGAAGTACGTTGGTCCATGGATGATGAGCATGTAGAGGACCACTGCATATCGAAGGCATTCGGACAAAGGGCTCACTTGGAAACTCTGGTGATTCAATGGCTCCAGAGAGCATAGTCGGTGTAAAATAAAGTTTGCGAGATCATGGAGATCGGTAGTGGATAAATCAGATTGCCGAGACGTGTTAAGGATATTGCGGAGTCGCAAGACGACGTCGCTCAACACAGGCTCGAGATCAAGTCCGACAAAACACTCGGGAAGCTCTTGGTGGCTGACATTATCGACTTCGGTCCATTGCTGAATTGGGGCTATGGCGTCTCCGCATCTATGGTCGTTTTGGACACTAAACTGTGGAGTTTGCATCAATACCAAGGAGACCCTGGTTGCACGTGTCAGCATGCAGATATGCCTCGAGCTCCAAGAGGCATTACCTGGCAACCATACGCGCTGTGAGAGGGCTTGTTAATTTCAAATTATGGATGCCTCCTCTCATCTGGACCATTTTCTTGACGCCTTCAATGTGCATGCTGCCGACAGCCGTGTTCCCCTTGCCAAACTGCAACACGAACATCAGCTCATTATGGTGATATTAGGACAAGATAAGCAGGGATATGTTTACCTCTATAGCAGCAAGGGTCACGACGGAATCTATAGTCTCGTCTCCACATGCCAGGAGTGGATCCTCGACGCGCTGTCGCACCAAGGCAATCGAGTCGGCCATGAGCATCTCCGAGTCTTTGAATCCATTTTGGGCCTTGAGTTCCGCATCCAGCGAGGCTGTCTGCAGCGATACATGGAACAAGGCGGGATCGTTGAGCGCGAGCGGCCACCATGAAACAACAAACGGGTTGGACGACTTTCCAAGGTCCAAGGGGTAGTACTGAAAGGCAATGTTTGACAGAACTATATTATGTCAGCGGTGCCGCGAAGCTTCCGAGGAGCTGGAGTCGGAGCGATGCCGGCGGCCACTGGGGGAGTAAAAAGTGCACAGCGCCCGGTCAAGGGGCATACTCTGCGCAAGTCCACCCATCCATGACTGAGAGGAAGAAGCATGGACTTGGTGGCTTCTTCGGGGTTGAGAATCCGTACCAAGCGCGCGCACGAACGGACGGACGGGCAGACAGACACAATGGACTCACAGTGTTGGATCAGATGCTGCACGCGAGCTCGTGGTAGCCTGGTCCGTGGATACGAGTCGAAGGGGTCAAGCGCCTGGCTGAAACCAAGCCGTAGAGGGCGAGGGGGCGATGGTTGCAGCAGCTCGCTGGCGGGTGGCAAGGCCGAACCGGAGTTGGAGTCTTCAATGGCGTTGGGCTCGGTCGACGACAAGGTCAGCGGTTCGTTCGCATACACGCAGCTGCCGATGCGCCTCTTGATGCATCGTGAACACTTTGGTTTGCGAAGATCGCAGCTCAGCTTGGACCTGGCGCACGCATTGCACGATCTTCTCAGCGTCGGGCGCATTTTGGCGAGACATTCCACGGGCGAGCATGGTTAAGTAGACGGCTGCGACATGGAGCCGTGAACTCTAAGTTGGCGCAGGTCCCCTCGCTTGCCTTAGTGCCTGCAGGGGCCATTGGATCGCGTCATTGCTGACACGCTTACCGGCGCGTCAATGAATCGCGCCCATCATGAGCGTTGCCGTCACGGTTGCAAGCGAGCAATTGCCCGTGTCTTGACGGCGCTGAGCCACTGGTAGCGTTGGGATTCATTGAAACGCACGTGTGCATCGCTGCATTCAATACAAGCCGTTCCTTGTGTCGTTGCCCGGGCCACGGCCGGTAGCGTACCACCCGGCCATCTATGCCAATCTTGTCTACACCAAGACTGGGGAAGAGAGTATGAGAGAGTGCTGCCAGGTCCCGCGGCCGAGTAGTGGCAACGGACGGGTCAAAGAGTGGTTCCTGCTTTCTGTTCTATTTTCTTTTGATTCAATCGTAACGGCGTCGTGGGCCAACCCGACTCGGTATGCGGCCATGGACATACACACCCTCCTAATCATACACTAAGTATACTACACCACATTCCCCTCTAGATGAGCGCCTCGCCCCTAAACATGGCCTCGCGCACTTCCCTTACAACGTCTGCTCGGTCGCCGGGGCCCAGCAGCACAATGCCTCTTCCCCGGCGTCCCATGCGCCCTGTGCGGCCTAGACGGTGGATAAAGTCAATAGTCGTGTGTGGAACGTCGTACAGGATGACGTGGCGGACAGACACAGTGTCAATACCTCTTGAACCGAGATCCGTGGTAACAATCACCTTGGTGTTGCCCAGCCTGTGTTTACTTGTTGGTGGCGGGGCGGCGGGTGCTTTTTCTTCGCTTTCACTCGAACTGGCTGGCGCATCGCTGGTGAAGGACTGGAGAATCTTTGCTTGGCGAAAAGGGTCCGTGTCGCGGTGGAAGGCTAGGGCATCGATTCCCTTTTTGACCAGATACTGTGCCACTTGTTCGGTATCCTCGCGCTCATTGACAAACACCAAGATGCGCTTGACTGCTATCGCCTCCTTGCCTTCGGTGGGGTCGTAATCGGCCGATGCCTTGCCAATCTGCCATATCGTGTCGGCACATGCAAGCATCTTGTTGCCACGGTAGGGGTCTTTGTTTACATCTACAACGCCCAGCTGCACTCGCCGCGGAATGGCATGCAGGTTCGGTGTGACGAGGCGCTGCATGTCGGGAAATTTCTCTGCAAGGTACTTGTCGAGATATTTGGGTATCGTGGCAGAGCACAGCACCAGCTTCTTGAGCGACGGAGTAGCGCGCTCGAGAATCTCGGTTGTGCTCTCTTTGAAAGAGCGGTCAAAGAGAGAGTCTGCCTCGTCGCAGACGAGATGCGTGACACGCGCAAGGATGTTGGGGTTGGTCTCGGCAATGCTGGCAAGGAGCGGCGGGGTGCTGATGACGACATCAACGCCGTTGGGGTTGAAGAGCTGCTTGCGGATGACCGTGGCCGACATTTTGGCTGAGATGGGCGCAGCGCGGAATTTGATTGTGTGCGAGAGAGCCTTTGCGACCGCGCCGACCTGGGCGACCAGCTCGGCGGAGGGGACGAGGATAATGGCTCGTGGGCGTGCTGGGTCGACGGCCTTGTTGATCTCTGGCTCCTCGACGGCAAACACGTCTGTCCTCTTCTCGTGCTGCTTTGCGGCTGCTTCCTCGGCGGCCTTGTTTGCCTGCTCCTCGGCCTCGGCCCTGTCGCCCATCTCTTGCTGCTTGACAGCGTCTAGCGTGGGCAGGAGATATGCCAGCGTCTTGCCCGACCCCGTCTCGGCTGCCAGCAGGAATGTGTCTGGGCCGGTTCTGCCAGCCTTTGCTCTGCTCCGTACCGCCTTCTGTATGCCGAGCAGGGCGGGTATGGCGACGGCTTGCGCAGGCGTGGGGTTGCGGTACTCGAGGCCAGGCAGGGCATCGTTGACGGCGCGCAGAACGGGCTCGGCGAGGGGGAACTTGTCGAAGGAGTCGTACTGGTCGATGTTGCGCTTGATGGCGGTGCGGTCGGAGTAGGGGACCTGGTGCAGCGAGCTGTGCATCTTGAGGGCGTGGAAGGGCTCAGGTCGTGCCCTCGCCCTGCTCTGGTCGCGCCCGGCAGCGGCTCTTGGCCCACGGGATTCTCGCGGCTGCCGCATGCGCTCGAGGCCGCGCGGGGCTTCGGTTCGATTCAGGTAGGCGAAGGCGTCGGGCTTTTTCTTTGGCCTGCTTTCTGACGTGCGCGCGACGTCCTCTGCAAGCACCATGCGCGGCGGCCGGGGCACATGGCGGGTCCTTGTCGAGCGCAGTGGCCCAGACGGCGATGATGACGCTGGTATATAGGCACCGCCATTGCGCTCCCTCTGCGTGTACAGGCGGGCCTGGTGAAGGGGCTGCCGGCGCAGCAGTGGCAGTAGTGGTGGTGATGGCAGCGGCTTCAGCAGCGGGCCCAGCTCGCAAAAGGGACAGACGGAAGGCCGTCGACGCAGCATGCCTGGTGCAATTGGAATGATTTTCGAAGGCTGTGTGTGTGCGTGCCTCTCTCTCTCTCTCTCTCTCTCTCACTCACTCACTCACCCGTCCACTGCCGTCGACGTCGCGCGGGGAAGAAAAAAAAGTTAGCGCCAGCAGCAGCCCATCTGACGTCGGGGGGGGGGGGCCTGCACGGGCGATCTGTGGTCGAGTGGCAGGCCAAGGCGACAGCGATAATTTTGGGCGCCAGCGCTAAGCAGCCGGCGGTGCGCTGGTGCTGGATGCGATTGCGGGCGGCGCACCAGCCACAAGCGGCTCGTTGCTGCGGCAACTCCGCCCCAACACCTCCGCCTTGCTCACACCCCGGCTATCAACACCTTGATAGCGCCCACGGTCCCAACTCATATCATACCACACGCATCCACACCTCTCCTCCATCCTCCGCCTCCTGCTCCTGCTTCTGCACATCCGCCTCAGCGCTCTGTGGGTGCCTTTCGCTTCTTTTTTGCCTTGTATTTGACCCGCGCCCGCGCCCTCTCGCTCGCTCGCTCTCGCGCATCTGCTGCTCTGCCTGTGCGCGCCCGACCGACTCCTTGAGGGAGCCTGCTGCTCGGCTGCACTCGACAACAAAGCCTGACAAGGCCTCTCTGTACGCGAGCGAGCAGCTCCGAGGCGCAAGCATGTCGCAAAACGAAGGCGTAAGTACACCGCCCGCCCGCTGCTCTCTGCCGCCTCGCCTCGCCTCGCCGCGCCCACCGCCCGTCGATACTGACAACAACGCCCGCAGGTGTCGCCGCTGCGCATCAACAAGACGCCGACGCCCTCGCCCACAAAGGGCAATGGCCGTCCGCTGTCCGAGATCAGCCCTCACGAGCACCGCAGGAACTCGCCCAGCTGGAACCAGTCAACAAAGGTACGTGCACGTGGCTGCCGCGCCCACGCCATACAAAGCAAACTGACCCGTCGCCCCCCTCCAGAAGATCCAGCTGTCCAAGGAGAGCTCGCCCTACCGCGACTCGTCGCCCTTCACCCACAGCCCCCGCCTCTTCTGGAAGGAGCAGACCACATCGCCCAAGAGCCGCTTCGAAGCGTCCGAGAACGAGCACGAGATTAGCTCACCGCTCTCGCCCAAGCGCAACTCGATTGAGAACCTCAAGAAGCAGTCACGTGTAAAGAACAGCAGCATGTTCGCCCGCGAGCAGAAGCACGAGTACGATCCCACCTTGGTCCAGCCCCTCGACCGCCCCCTCGCTGCAGGACGTCCCCTCAGCACCGTCATTCAGGGCAACGCATACGGCGGCAGTGGCCTGCCCCTCAAGGGCTTCCCACACGCCCGCTCCGAGAGCCAGACAAAGATACCCGTCCTCAGCCCGGCCAAGACCTCCCCAGCGAAGCTCCCCACACAGTCGTCTTTCGCGTCGCCGGCAAAGTCACCGCCACAAGAGGGCCGCGCATCGCCGACCAAGTCGTCGCTCGTCAGCAACGGGCGCTTCAACTCGCCACAGTACAACGGCGACTCCAGTGCCGTCTTCTCCGACGACGAGGACAACGTGCAACAGACCCCCCGCCCGCTGCGTCGCCATGCTAAGAGTGTGACCTTCGACACCAAACCTCCCCAAATCACAGAGTTTGAGATGGTCACACCCGACCCGTCTGTGACAACCGCGTCAAGAGATGGCAGCTACGACTCGGAAGAGGAGACGGAGGAGGAGATGAGCTTCGACCAGGACGACAGCTTTGATGCGTCCCTCGAGGACACCGACAAGACGCCTGTCGTGCTGCCAGAGGACTGGCGCCACATGAGCCCCGATGCCGCCGACACTTCCCTCACCGATACCTACGACGACGTTTTTGAAGGCCGCGAGAACAGCCCGATGCCCTCCGCGAATCCCAATGGCCCGCGATACGAATCACGTCTGGGCTCCACGGCCTCTGATGGCGACGCTAGGCCACTTCCTCCTCTTCCTGGCTTCTCTGCACAAGACGGCAGCCGGCGGCGCGACTCGAGCGTTGGCTTGTCCGCTGCTGCTGAACGAGTCAACGACAGGCGGCGGTCCCTTCCTCAGCTTCCGCAAGCTGCTGGTATCTCTAAGAGCGATCTCCTCAACATGCGCGAAGTCTCCATGACACTTGAGGATCGAATGCGTTTGCTGAACGTTGAAAATGACCGCGACACAAGTACACCCACACAAGAGATGCAGGACAAGAAGAACAAGCAGGCTGAGGAGGACGTTACAGAGGCGGATGTGGATCAGTCGGAGATCACTGCCGAGGAACTGAGACTGGTGCCGCGCATCTCGCGCGAATCCATTCTGCGCCGCGTCAAGAGCCGCAATTTCCAGGATGGCGAAGGCGACGACTCCGACGCGGAATACAGCAACTTTGAGCCAGAGTACAGTCCTGAGCGCAGCTATGGCGATCTTGCTGACCTGGATCCCGACGTTCCTATTCCTTCGCGCGAACCTTCGTCCAACTTTGACGAGCACCCACGCCAGGCTTCTCACAGTGAAGCAGACAGCGTTGTCGACGCCTACAACTATGGAGATGTAGCCCATGGGGATCCCGCCGACGCAACAGACGTAGATGGTAGCTCCATGTCCGACCTTGAAGACTATGAGCGCGAGTCATCGGTTATCCACCATCCTATGCCGCAAGAGTCGGAAGACGAAGACGACGAGAGCCAATACTCTCCTGTCCCAGAGGAGCAGCCAACATCGCAGAGCACTATCGACTCTTCCGGCCCACCAACACCGACTGCGGCCCCTTCTTCACCTGTCGCGGAGAAGAAGCAGGATGAGCAAGACCACTCGTACTGCAACTTTGAAGACAAGGACACGGACCTCAGCCTCGATCCCGTCAAGGCTCCATTGGACACTGTCCCAGGCCCGCTCGACAATGCTCCCAAGCTAGAGGCCATGCGCGAAAGTCTTCAAAGACCTGTCACCCCAGAGCCGGCGGACGCTGAGGACGACGATTCTGAATCGGATGCGCCCAGCACTCCAGGCTCTGTCATTCGGCATCCCATTCCCCAATCACCTCTCCCTAATGAAGATATTGAGGTTCCCCAACGCGAGGCAACCATCAGGGGTGCGGGCGGAAAACTCAAGACACGCCCGTCGCTTATTCCCGACGAGGTTGACATGGCCGCCACCCGTCGTCAAGTCAGTGGTGGATTTGCTCCGCCTGTTCCCGAGCGCAGCCCCAAGCGCCAATCCCTTGGCCTGGACATGAGCAATGTTGACGAGGAAGATTCACAGTTGAGCCTTACCACCAGGGAGAACCGCATGCTTGATCTCAAGCTCGGCGATCTTAATCTTGGAGACGATTCCAATGATCTCAGCTTTGGGCTTGACAAGGAATTTGACCACATCATTGCTTCACAGAAGAAGGGATACATGATGCGTGAGAACACCAAGGTGGTGGTTGCAAGCAGTCGGCAATTTAGTGACGAGAAGCCTCCCACGGGTGATGGCGCCCCCGAATCAGTCGCCCGAATCACTTCGCGTAAGGCTAGCATCGAGCGCAAGCCTTGGACAAAAGAGCCTTGGAATGGCAAGCCCCGACGCAAGAGCATTCGCACTGCCTCGGGTCGACGGGCCCGGACTTCCGAAGGTCCTGCTCCACCCCTTCCTGGCCAGGACTCGGCTGTCTCTGGGGGTCTGGGTGCGGTTGCTGAGCAGAGCGCTGATGATCAGTTTGAGGATGGCGAGGAGCGCGGCAGAGTCTTTGTCAAGGTGATTGGTGTCAAGGACCTCGACCTTCCCCTTCCCAAGAAGGAGCGTGTCAACTTCCAACTAACCCTTGACAACGGCCTGCACTGTGTCACCACGGCTTGGTTAGAGCTTTCGCAGTCTGCTCCGATTGGCCAAGAATTTGAGCTTGTTGTCCTTGACGATCTCGAGTTCCAGCTTACGCTCCAGACAAAACTGGAGCCTCCAGTAGCACCGCAGGTTGTTGTTCCACCCACCAAGATTGTGAACCACAAAAAGTCGCACTCGGCCTTCCGCAATCTCCTCTCGTCGCCAAAGAAGAGAAAGGAGCAGGAGCGCAAGGCGCAAGAAGAGGCCGATCGCATCGCGCTTCAGGAGCAGCAGGAGGCTCAGGCGGCCGCTAAGCGCAACTACCAGGCGACGGCGTGGGACCTCCTCCATGACTTGGTCGGACCCGATGGATCCTTTGCACGTGCCTATGTTTGCCTCAGCAACCACGAGAACCAAGCCTATGGCCGGCCGCTCACCGTTGATGTTCCGTGCTTCAACGAGTGGGCCGTGGACAACACCGGCGGAAGCAGCGTCAAGAGCAAGCGTGGGGGTGTTGTTCGCCGTCCTCCTTACCGAGTCGGCAAGCTTACTCTGCAGCTGTTGTACGTGCCGAGGCCGAAGAATGCCAAAGATGAGGATATGCCCAAGAGCATGAACGCTTGCATTCGCGAGCTCAAGGAGGCTGAACAGGTCAAGGACATTAGCTTCGAGGGTACATTGAGCCAGCAAGGTGGCGACTGCCCGGTAAGTACCTCACACAACCACTGGTTCACCATAGCAAACTAACATGACTCAGTACTGGCGTCGACGGTTCTTCCGCTTGGAAGGCACCAAACTGACGGCGTATCACGAATCCACGCGGCAGCCTCGCGCGACCATCAATCTGGCCAAGGCTTCGAAGCTTATGGACGACAGGTCCGCGCTTCAGCAGCCGTCTGCGACCAAGAGTGGGGGCCGCAGAAAGTCTGGCTTTGCTGAAGATGAAGAGGGATACATGTTTGTTGAAGAGGGATTCCGCATCCGCTTTGCCAACGGCGAGGTCATTGACTTTTACGCCGACAGCCGCGAGCAAAAGGAGGCCTGGATGAAGGTTCTCTCCGAGACTGTTGGCAAGGACATTGCTCAGAATAAGGGCTGGGCTGCCATGGTCCTCGAGAAGGAGCGCAAGGAACGCAAGGAGCGTGCACAGCTAGCATCGACTCAACCCACAACGCCGGCGTCGAACGTTAGTCGTCCTGGTCACACACGCACTCAGTCGCATGATGTGCAGCCCGCCAAACCTAGTTCCAGCCCTGTCAAGGGTCACGCTCGGACACAATCGCATGCGCCAGCGCCACCTCTGAAGGATGTGCGCATGTCACATGCGCCAACGCCACGGCCGCGAACGCAAGAGTCGGCGGCGAGGTCAGGACGCAGAGATCAGGTTCGATCGATGATTTTCTAAAGTCCCACTATTCCTCTTCATCATCGATACCCATTCCTCTATTTCCATTGTTGGACACACTTACTTACTGGCATCTCTTTGCGTTTTAGCTTCGCCAATACTCTTCGCTTTCGCACCGACTCAGATTGGGGTTTTGGCGACGTGGAAAGGGAAGAAAGGTTTTGACGGGCGCAGGTGCTGCGCATCTGTTCCCCGAGTCAAACACGCCCGTACGCTGATCCAAGCGACTGTTTTCATTTTATGAGGGCGTATCCATTATGGTCCGAGACCGCGCTAGTCGGGTTGCTGCAGTGTGGTGTTGGTGGTGTTTTGTGTGTCCTAGCTGTTCGTGTCTTGTTGCATCTTGTTATCATTGCTTGCGTCTTTTCTTTCTTTCTTTCTTTCTTTCGACTAGGTATTGGATGGCTTTGGCGTTGAGGTGGGGGCGGCTATGGGATCATGAGATTCTGCGTAATGATTCGATTAGTAGCGATGAAGATGATGATGTAGTGCACAATTGGCTAGTAAGCTGAAGCGAATACACACATGACTTCAATTGGCGGTCTAGAGATGCATGACATGTGCCTGTGAAGATGTCTCTACATAGGGTGTGTAAAAGTACGCCTCTAGTGTGGGTGAGAGGCTTTTGAAGTGCACGGAATATGCCTATGACATGGCTGGAATTATTGCCTCTACCATGCGTTAGTTTGAGTGTTTTTTTTTATTCTCTCTTTTTCTCTCTATCGTTTGACCCTTCATATTTCAGCGGTGTGTGTGTGTGTGTGCCTGACAGCGCGCTTACTTTGGGTCCATGTACTTATCTACTTGGCGGCATTTCCAATAATACATAGCAACGCCGTCAATACTTTGAAGTAACCAATGCAAGCACGCGATAAGACACGTGGGTGTCGCGCCCGCGTTACCCGCCGTCATTTCTCATAGGCTGCGCGAAAGACGTTGGCCAAAAAATTTTCGAGCTTGTTTAGTGTTGCAGTGCTTTGAAATTTTGCAGGGTACTTACTGTAGTATTGTCAGCGCTATTTTAGTCGGCGTTGCGGTCCAAGTATGTACATGGTGTTTTTTTTGTCGTGGAGATTGAGGGTTGCAGTTTGACTTTGTCGGGTTGAAGTAATGATGGTGTTTAGATTTTTTTAGATCTGGGAGTGAGTAATGAGCATGTGCATGTATATAGAGCGTCTAAATATAAATCTTTGTGTCTGCTTGCATGCGATAAAAAGTCTTGAATTATGATATGTATTGTATAGGTTAGATAATTATTATAGTATGTACTCATGTCTGTCTATCATTGTTATTATTATTATTATTTCAGGTTCCCCTCATGGTGCTTATTATATAAGGACATTGCTACATATTCACAGATGACATGTAATTCCCTCTTTTCATTTCTTTTTTCCGTGAAGACTAACACTTTTTCATCTCATAGTCTCATCTCACATGTACATATTCCATACGTATCCACCGACATTCTTCCCTGTACATCTCGTCGAAAATCCAGCTGCTGGAATAAACTCCCAAAAAAAAGCTGAATAACATGGACATACTATAGTCAACTAGTCAAACATATATGTATCTATGTATCTATGTATCTATGTGTGCAACATGCCCAAACAACCAACCAGCCCCTCTCACATGCACACGCGACGATATTCTCGCTTAGTCACTCAATCATCTCCCTCCCTCCCTCTCTACGTACCCATTCAATCACTCACTTGCCCACTTAGTCACTTGCCCACTTACTCACCAGCAACGCCAATCCAGCATCGAAAGAAAAACAAAAACAAAAACAAAGGGGCGGACACGCTAGTGCGAGGAAAAGAGATACTTGGAACACGGCATATGCAGCATTACCACTACACTACATTACGTTACACTAGACTAGACTGGACTATACTGCATTGCACTGCACTGTGCTACACTAGAAATGTCGTGTAATGATACCTTTTTTTTATGCTGTGTGAGCATGTGTCGTGCACAGCGTGCGTGGCATGGCATGGTGTGGCGTGGTCGTGGTCGTGGTCGTGTAGCGAGCAAACAAAGGTACTACTGGGTTAAATGGCAGCGTGCCAGTTATCTATGTGGTGCTTGCTGTTTGTGGGAAGGAAGAAAGGAAGGGGGGGGGGAGTAGTTGGGTTGAAGTTTGCTTGACTTGTAGCCTCCTCCCTTTGCTCTCCCTCTCTCTCTCTCGCTTACTTTCTCTCTTTTTCTCTCACTCTCGCGAGTCTTGAGGGTGGATGTGGTGGTGTAAACTTGCAGCGTACCAAGTACTTTGGATAGAAAAGAGGGACTTTGTAAGTGAGTGAGTGAGTGTGTGTGTGAAGCAGCTACTTTCGACTGCACCTGGATACTTTACTCTCTTTCCTATCCATAACGAAGTAGCAGCAATCCTCTCGGACAAGTACAGCAACGATAAAAATAACGACAGCAGCATGGGCGCATCACAATCTACGCCTCCGCCGCTGGTGCAAGTCAGTGCTCCGAGGGGAAAAGTGCTCGTTCCCCCAGGTCTGTATCAAGCAAAGCCCAAGTTTTGTATTCTTTTCTTACGCCTTCCAGGAACAGCATTCACGGTCCATCCACCGCCATTGTATGCCCGTTCAAGACCAGATGCTTATACCCGGGGCCGCGGCGGCGGCGGCGGCCCAGTGTACATGGCCACGCCATATGGGCCATTTCCACAGGGACCAGTCGCACGAGGAATGCGTGGCGGAAGACAACAACACATGGGGGGATATGGTGGGGGAACAGACATTGAGATTGCAGAGGAGAGTGAAGAAAGTGAGAGTACAGTGGGGGATATGACCGAGGGTATAGGGCCGCGCGGCGGGATGCGGGGACGGGGTCCAAGAGGATACAATACTGAGTATTTAGCTATGATGGGAGGAGGTGGAGGCGTTGGTGGAACAGGAGGAGGTGGGTACGGCAGATCTGCGCCTGAAATGGCCATGGGCGGATATCCTGGTAACATGGCATGGGGAGGAGGCGATGCAAGAATGGGAGCAGGAGCAGGAGCAGGAGCAGGAGGTATTGGACCACCACCAGAATACACATCGAATCCAAACCTGGCTAGGTTGGGAGGAGACGGAACCATGCCCGTAGCCGGTGGTAGCCCCTATGCGAACTATGCTGGGCCGTCGCCAGCTAGTCCTCCGTCTAGTAGTAGTACGGCTACGCGGGCACAAGAGCCGACGCCGCGAATTGGTGGTAGCGGGCGGGCAAACCACGACTACTACGACCATGTGCCCATGGGGGCGTATGCCGACGCAAAAAAGCCTCGAAAAACGTCAGGTGGGGGTAGGGATGGACTCATCTCAGCACGGCTGAACCGTGGGCACAAGTCAGGCCAGGTCGGCCCATCGGGAAAAGAGTGGGTGGAGGGTGATGCCTTTCTCGACGCCTGCATCTGTACCACAAACTGCCGGTGTCGAAAGAGCCAGCGAGTCTTGTACCGTGCGCGCGTGGATGGGCACCGGGCCAGCAGTGGTTCAGACGGCGAGGAGCACGAGTACAGAAGCGGAGAGATTAGATATATACTCAAAGACGACGTGGGGCGAGACTGCGGCGATCACAGTGGGTGCAGGAAAGGAGAGAGCCAAGACAGTGACAAGGAGGAGAAACGGAGCAGGAGAAAGGAGAGCAAGGAGGGGGAGAAGCTCCAGGAGCAGTTCCAGGGGCTCAAGGACGACTTGCTCGAGGCACTGGACGAGCGGTTGGAAGACATGAGGAAAGAAAGGCGTCACCTCAGCGAAGCGCCAGACCCCGCGCGGCCCTCGGTCGGGGCATCCGGATTGGGACAGAGTTCGTTGATGATGAATGGGCGGCAGGTGGATCCACGTATGGCCAGACAAATGCCCATGGTGGTAAACTGTAATCCCTATGGCATGCCCACATCAGGAATCGGCCAAATGCCACATGGCATTAGCGGCTTGGCTGCTGCAGGCAGGGCAGGATTCGGAGATGACGTTTCTGCATGGGAAGCAGATATGGGGCATGCAGAGGGCGTGGAGACGCCGTATCTGCAACCCGGCTGGACGGTCAAGAGGAAGCAGGACAGGAAGAAGAGGATGATGATGAACGGCACGGGTATGCCGCGGCCCAACATGATGCCACCTGATGGGGCCAAAGCGCGAGGACGAGGCCAGGGAGTGGGAGTGGGAGTGGGCGAGGGCATGGGTATGGGTATGGGCATGGATGGTAGAAATCGGGCGATGGGCAGATGGTCCCAGGGGGTGGTGGATGGCCGCGGAGCCGTGATGGGACGTCACGGTAGTCGTGGAAATAGGCGTGGCGGTTTAGAGTCGGAGTCTGACGACTTGGACGCCGTTGAGCCAGGGGCGTCGATAAACTCTGGCAAAGGCCAACGGGCCGGGCTCGACAGTGCGGGTAAGTATGTCGACGACGACTCGAGCGGCCCAAAGGTCTAGAATACGTGGTATACTGAATCTTGTACAGGACGTGGCGGGGGCAGATTGGGCCAGCGAGGCCACGACATGGCGAACAGCATGAGCAGCAGCAGCAGCAGCATCAGTCGAGATGGAGCCAGACAAGCTCGAGCTGATACGGATGACGACGCGTATTGAACACAACCATGGCCAGACTATGCTGCTAGGCCCATGAACGGCACGGAAGGACGGTTGAAGAGGCGTGTTCTAGATTCGTCGCCATTTGCGTGGAAAGCCATCATCACTCTAGCGTAGGCCAAGTGGTTGGGGTTTTTGGGCGCGCCAGAACTTGGAACAGAACGGGGAAAAAAATGAGACATTTTTTTTTCTCTTTCTTCCCACACCGTACAGATAATGGCTGATGACGGGGCGTAGGCGACGTGCTGGTGTAACATTGTTGGGTGCTGGTGCTGTGTCGGACCAACGCCGCCGGCTGCAGCAACGAAGTAAGTGTTCATGGGGCGCGTATGCAGCATCGGGCTAGGCCGCTGTCGCCGGGCCAACCCCTCGCCCCTCCAAGCCCCCCAGTGCCAGTGAGTGCCAGCGTCCAGCCCAGCGTCCAGCAATAGAAGCAGGCCAGCCGTCCAGGCCCCCCCCTGTCCCATGGCCCTTCTCCACGTCGTGCTCGAGATAATAGATTGATGCATCGAATCTGCTCGAAGCTGCAGCATGCGTCGGGCAGCTACCCTTTGGCTGCAGTCATACTTATCTCCATGCAGCTGGCCTTGGGCTTCGTGGCACCGTCGCGCCAAACGGCGGCCGGCTAATCACCATGACGTGCATCACATGTAACAAGTGCCGTGGATACCGTCTGTCAAGTAAATATTGCCATTCGCTATACGTGTCCGAGCTGACCACACAAGGTCCCGGCGTGAGCCGAGTTACAGCCACCATTGTGGGCGCCCCGTCTGTCGTAGTTCGGCGGCAACATTAGGAAAAGAAAGCCGTGAGCGCCAGCCAGTCCCGTTCCGTCCAAGGTGAAGATGCATCGTTTCCCCATGTCCATTATAGATCCCTAACCCGAGTAAATACCGACCAACTCCTCGCTAGAAATGCACACCAAGCAGAGCAAAGAAACCTAGGGAAAGCAGACGAAAAGGGAAAAAAAAAGCGTAAGGTTGCCAAGAAGCGCGTACCAGACATGATCAGGGTACATGGCGTGACGAATTTTTTTTTGCTCCAGCGAGTCTGTGTCAAACAGGCAGGCTGAGAGAAAGATAGGCTTTGGCTAGCCTCTAGGGAGCGCACCAGCCGAGGCCCGTGTTGGCGATGCCCACAGCCGTGGCCAGGCGCTTGCCCCGTTCCGTGAGGCTCAGGACGGCGCATTTTTTCTCCGCCAGCCAGTTCTCAAAGGCATTGACGTCGTCGGCGTGCATGTGGGGCTTGGCCTCGGACCAGGCACTGTCCACCTTGTAGGTTTTATGACGCAGGCGGGGAAGAGCCTCAGTGCGCAGATGCGACAGCTCCGCGGCATAATAGGCATCATGGGATTTGAGCGGCGTCGAGAAGGAGCGTTCGCGCGAGAGAGAGCGCTCCGCGGGACCCAGGCAGATGGGCGAGCCAGGGCACATGACCTGGGATACGGGAACCGAGGGCGCTACGGGCGAGGCGCTTCCCGACTGCGACGTCGACGAGGCACACGTCAGAGGTGACGAGGCGTCAGACTGGAGCATGCTGCTGGCATTGCTGATGGTGCGAAACCTTGGCGACGGGAGCTGGTCGAGGTGGGCCAGGTAGTCGTCCGACGACGCCTTGGACTCGCCGTCGCTGTCTTCGGAGCCCTCGAGGTACTTGTCGAGGCGCTCAAAACCTGTGCGGGCGTCGTTAGCAGCTGGGCGCGGGCGGGTCGAGGGCGCGGGCGAGTGTGGGCACGTGACAGTGGCTAACGAGCCAATGGGAAAACGGGGGGGGGGGGGGAGGGGCGCGGGCATGACTAAGCGCACTTGCAGTACTTACCCGTCAGGACAGCAGCACCAGCATGCTGCAAGGCAGCCAGGGCGCCTTGGACGTTGTCGGGAAGACGGTCCCAGAGCTCTTGCGGGCAGTACCAATGGCGCAGATGGGCGGGGTTATAGCTGAAGGCGTCTCCGTCCTTGGGCGCGGCGACGCGGGCAGCATTGAGGTACGACGACGACCTGGGCAGGCTCATGCGTCTCGAGCTTTCGCGGCGAGACAGGCCGGGGTTGTTGTATATGGGAATTGGCGACTGTGGAGCGGCCATGGCGGGCGGTGAGGTAAGGTATGGTATGGGATAGCGAGCAGAGCAGAGCAGACAAGTGGCGTACACTAACTCTGTGTGTGGCGCGTGGAGCAATGGCAGGCTTCTTTGGGGGCGAGGGAACGGACCCTTTGGAGCACAGGTGGTATTTGTAGGTCCCAGGCACGAAGCGAAGATTCTGGACAAGACGGGCAGCAGCAGCAACAAAAGTGCGTGAGGTGGAAAGAGGTAGAGGAGGGGGGGATGAAAGGATCGCGGACAGGCTGATGATCGAAGCCCTTGGCGGAGTCAGCAGGAAGAAGTGTGGAGGTTTTGGGCAGGGTTGGTGCGGGTACTGTGCGGGCGGCGTTTGGTGTGCGTGAGCGGGAGATGGGAAACAAAGGGTGCTAAGCGGTTTCCCATATACCCGCGCGAGCAGCTACGTCAGGTGCTAGCGGCGGGCGGGCGTGCAGGCGAGGTGGGTGAATGAGGCGCGCCAGCGAGATGGTTGGGAGGGAGGGAGGGAGGGATGGGAGGGATGGGAGGGATGGGATGAGATGGGTGGATGGATGGCGCAGCGGCCCTAATTTCACGGGCAGCCAGCAGCCAGACTAGCAATTTCACGGGCAACCCAACGCCCGCCGCGCGCAGGCTGATACCGACGGGGATGCAGGGAAAACGTTGTGTGTGGGTGTGGGTGATGTGCAAGTGCGAGCAGCGAGGGCAGGCAAAGGTACGCCGCCGCCGTCGCCGCCTAGGGCGCTAGCGCCAAAAGTGTCTGGCATGTCTGGGATGCCCAAACACCCGGGTGCACGGGCCCCACCCTGCCTGCCCTGCCTGCCCTGCCCTGCCCTGCCTGCCTGCCCTGCCTGTCGCCCGTCGCTGCACGCCATGAATGAGCCGCCCGCCATTGGGCGCCTGCTGCCTGCACCCATTGCCCAAGAGCCGCGGACCGCAGCGCTGCAGCCTATGGCCGTCCGATGGTGTCATGATGCCGACAGAGCATTGGCAAAAAATAAAAAAAGCAACGCAAGCAAGCCGCCACTCAGGCGTCAGACAAAGGCTCCTGTGCGTGTGTGGGTGTGTGTGGGTGTGTGGGTGTGCGAGGGCAGCATCGGAATGAACCGGAACCGGGCCAGTCGGCGCAGCGCAGAATCTACGTGTAGACAGCAGAGGCCGGCATGCCGAAAACAGCCCCAGCTGACACGCTTTGAGTTTGCAGCGCCAGACGTGTGGGCACGGTGCCAGTGCGGGGAGCCTCTCTAGCACTAGCTGTAGCTGTAGCCGTAGCGCAGCCCTGGCCTGGCTCGCATAGGAGCACCCGTGTTTCAAAAAATAAAAAAAATAGTCGGCGGCGCGTCGTGTGGCGTGTTTGACCACCCACAGCCCCCCCGCCGCCGCCGCCGCCGCCAAACTGCTCCTGCTGCGCCTGCTGCTGCTCCTGCTGCTCCTGCCACTGCTGCTGCTGCTGCTGCTGCAACATGGCCCCGAGCCCATCACATGTTGATCAGCAGGTCGCCCGCCTGCAGCTCCACATGTCCACCAACACCCACCCTCACATTCTCTCTCACACACTCACACCCTCACACCCTCACACACACGTATCAATGTCGCCAAGGTGCAAAAGCAACGCGGCCGGATAACCCAACCCATCCTCTCCCGCCAACGGCCGCCCCTCGCCGCCCCAACGCGAACCCTCCTCCCTCTGCTGCCGCGCGCAATGCGTGAATGTGAATGCGTGAATGCGTTGTCGTAAACGCTCCCCTCTCCTGCCCCGCTGGTTGTGCAGCCCTGGCACCGACCCACGGCCTCGCTCCCTCACCCTCCCCCCTCAGCCACCAGTCGCCAGCCGCCAACACACACCCTTTATCCTCTATCCTGTCTCTTGGTCCCCCTTTTGCCCTGCCGTCAGCACGCCCATCAAAGTTAGCAGCAGCAGCAGTAGCAGCAACAGCAGTAGCAGTCGAGCGGTCCCTGATCGCCTACTCCACAAAATAAAGTAAAAAAACACACACACACACACACACACACCCATGCCACTTGCACACCATGTTTCGATTGCGCGGCACCTGCTATAGCCAGTCTCATTTTTGCGTCGCCTACCGTGGTAGCATTGCAGGCACAACTTTGATTGTCTGGTCTCGAGCGCTTTTGCTGCAAGCCGAGCCACGCTTGACACCCACCCACCCATCATCTTATCTAGCACAGCCCGCAGAAGACGTCCCTGTAAATCCCTCATTCATGGCACACACACATGGCGGCCCTTCTACTGCTATAGTAGTCCCGACAAGCCTCGCTTCAACCGCCCTCTGATATTGGCCCCGCAAGCCGCCTATTCCAGCCTGTGTCGCGTAATCTCGTTAGCCATCGTCATGCTGCCATGTGAATATCGTCGTCGTCGTCGCACCTTTCGATCAAATGCACGCCCGAGGCCGTTTCCACCATGCCGCTGACCTGGCCCTTTTCCAGCCCAAACGCCGCCTGCTCAAACTCCTTCTGCATGTCGCCCTTGCCGAAGAAGCCGCTGCCCACACGTTAGCCCCACCACGCCCAACGCCCATGCTGCTGCGATACATGCACTCACAGGTCACCTCCCTTGCGCGCGCTGCTGCAGTCCGACTCGGTCGTGGCCAGCTCCGACAGCGTCTTGCTGCCAGACTTGATCTGCTCGTGGTACTCGTCAATCATCTTGCGCGCCTCGTCCACCGATCGCGTAATGTTGGGTTCCCGCCAGCTGGCCGGGCGTCGACTATCGCGGTGCTTGACAAGCAGATGGGCGCATCGAATCTTGCCCTCGGTCGCCGCAGACGCCGCAGGCCCAACGCCTTTGGAACTGTGCTTGGCCGCCATGTACGCCTTGAGCTTGTCCGGGTCGGTGCCCGCCGGCGGCTCCCATCGTGAGTCCTTGGTTTGCGCGTGGAAGTAGTACGGCAGGTTCTTCGTGTTGGACCGCCGCACCTCCCATCCCTCGGGCAGTCCGGTCTCTGCGGACGACTATGACGCGTGAGCTGCTTGTAACGCCCCAGTGCGGACACGGGCTCGCGTAATGCCTACCATGGTGTGCTGCTGCAAGTGTCGTGATGGGCTCGGCCAGAGGGTGATGGCAGTCGTGGCAGGGGCAGTTCTGGAAGAGGGCAGCGTGGAGCGACGTCTGGAATTGCAGGCGGCGGACAAGACGATCGGCGCTTCCCAGCCCACGTCAGGTCGACAATGCGGGGGGGGGGGTTCTCTGCCAAACAAAGACCTGGCACGGCAACAGAGGCGGCGCCGCGGGCCAAGTGGGGTGGTCCGCGCGCCCTCATGGCCGCGACCCTTGCACGTCGCCTCTCCCTTTGCACTTGTGCCTGTGCCTGTCAACACTCCCATATCGCCGCCCGCTACTTCCACCACATCCACCACGTCCCCATGGCATCCCCAGCACCACAGACGAGCGGCGCCAAGGGCGGCAAGGAGCCCATCCTCTTCCGCTTCTGCTCAGAGTGGTGAGTTGTCTTGCACACATACGCCACGGCCCATGTACACGCAGCATTGACCCCAAGCAGCTCCAATCTGCTGTTCCCCCGCGAGGACAAGTCGGAAAACAAGCTGCTCTTTGCATGCCGTACCTGCAACTTCACCGAAGAAGCGCCCTCGTCCTGCGTCATGCGCCACGAGATTGCCTCGACGGTCGGAGCCACGGCCGGTGTGACAGCAGAGGTCGCCCAAGATCCCACGGTTGGTTCTTCCCCATCCGATGCACAAGCTGTCCAAGACGCCCTGTCTGAAGAGGTGCCATGCTGCACCATGTGTGGCCTGCCCATCATGTGCGACGAGTGCGGCGAGGAATCGGCCCCCGGCTTTGCGCTCGAGGCCGACGACGAGGACCCGCAGGCAGGCCACGTCCAGCACACGACGCGCGACGACGACCATGACGACTACATGTACCAAGACGACGACTACGACGACTTTGACGAGGAAATGTGGGACGACGAGCCCACGCCCTGAACGCACGTCTGTTGCGCATCCCTACCAGTACAGTGGCTTGCTTGCTCCTGGGCGTGCTCGCTGACTGTGCCTGTGTCTAGTTACCGCGAGTCCAGAAACAATGCACAGAGTGCGGCGAGAACGAGGCCGTCTTTTTCCAGTCGCAGCAGCGGACCGCCGAAACGGGCATGGTACGTCATCTCCCGCGCGCCCAGCGAGCACGGCTGACTGGACTTTTGCAACAGGCCCTCTACTACGTGTGCGCCGGCTGCGGTCACGTCTCACGCCCATCCGACAACAACTAGAACCGCCATGGCATGGGCATGCATCTAGCTGGCGTTTTGATCTCATGATACACATTGCGAGGAGTTTTGGACAAACAAACAAAAAAGGCCGTCTTCAGATACCCCGGGGGTACGACTCAGTGACATAGACATAATATGACATTCCCCAGTGCTCCCATAGACTCCGAAAATGCACTCATTCCACATGCAACATGCCCCGTGTGTGTCTTGATTGTCTACACGTGCATGGGCGCCAGCGACAGAATCTTGGACCACTGCTTCTGCCTGAGCTCTGCTGCCACAACCCCGCTGACTCTGGATCCAATGGGCTCGCCGGCCTTGTTGATGAGCACGCAAGCATTGTCGTCGAACTTGACCACGCTGCCGTCGGGCCGCTGCCACTTCTTCGCTGTCCGGACCACGACGGCGTGGCGCACGTCTCCTCGCCGGACCTTGTTGGCTGCGCTGATGGATACGCTGTTGCCGGTTTCAGGGCCAAAGTTGCGCTGTTTCTTCACCACGACTACTATGCGGTCGCCTGCGCCTGTGTCAACGTCCCGTGCTGCAGCACCTCTGGTCTTGTTCGCCGCGTCTCACATACCGACTTTGGCAGGGCGCTTGGATCGCAGGACATTGACGCACTCGACAATGGCGGCGCCCGAGTTGTCGATGCAGTTGATGAGTGACTAGAGGGGTTGCATGAGCCTTTGCTGCTACTGGTGCTGCTACTGGTGCTGCCACTGCCACTGCCAGACGCACCTTGAGCTGAATCATATTGCGCGCGTCGAAGCAATTGAGCGTCTCCCGGCGTCGTCGGCGTCGTCGTCGCCGCTGTTGTTGTCGTCGTTGTCGTCGTCGTCGGCGGCGGTGCGGTTCGGGTTGCACGACGACGACGAAGTTGCTGCCGGGCTTTCGCCGGGACCCTGGGCGGCTCGCTTACGCACCCCCCCCCTTCACTCCGCGCGTGCGATCTGGGTGGCTCGCGCAGGGGTCTTCATTGAGCCCCAGCCCAGCAGCCTTGTCACTCGTCTCATCCGCCCGCCGGCTGCCAACTATCGAGCCACTATTGTACTGGCCGTCTCCGTGCGCGCCCATCGCTCCTTCCCTTCCATGCACGCGTCCTTGCTGTCGTGCGGGACGCTCTTTCCCTCTGATCCGAGTGCGCCCGCGCCTGCCTTGTCCCTTGCCGAGTGAATGCTGCGTGATTGCTCACTTGTCCGCCGCCGCCGCCGCCTCCGTCACGTCAGCCTGCCCGGTCAACCACCCCTTTAAACCACCAAGCCCGTCGCCTGCGGCCCTCTACACCTCCCGGACCCGGTCGCGTGTCCATACCCACCATCTCGTTCTCCCTGCCAGCCGCCCAGCCATGGCGCCCGCGACGAAACTCACACTGGACAAGCTGGCCATGTTCGACGATGTCATCACCGACGCCGTCATCGACAAGGTCTACGGCTGGTTCACAATCCGCAAGAACCGCGGCGGCCGCTTCACGGGATCGCGACGGCTGAAAGAGGAAGCTGTAGCCGACATCATTCGCCAACATGTCATCTGGGACAAAGATCCCGCTGAAGCCGTGCAGAGGCTGCTCCAGCTACCCGGCCTGCGCCGCTTCCTCACCAGCCTCAAGGACGAGCGCGATCAGGAGCAGTTCAGGCGCCACCTGCGGAGATATGTCAACATCTACATGCCCGACTGCCAGTTCGACGTGACCACCACGAACCGCTACACAATCACCGAGCACGAGGCCTCGATTACCGCGCGACGAGACATCAACCCACGCGAGGAGATCAAATACCTGACCGGCGTCCAGGTGGCTATGACCGAGGAGCAGGAGAAGACGTTGGAGCTGGCGCGCAAGGACTTTAGCTTGGTCATTTCTAGCAGAAAGAAGACTCGCTCGCTGTTCCTGGGACCCGCGCGATTTGCCAACCATGACTGCGACGCCAATGCAAAGCTCACGACCAAGGGCTACGACGGCATGCAGATTGTCGCGGTAAAGCCCATCTACGAGGGAGAGGAGATTACAGTCTCGTACGGTGAGGACTACTTTGGCGACGACAACGAAGAGTGTCTCTGCAGCACGTGTGAAAACTTGCAGCAGAATGGCTGGGCGCCCATGCAGCGGGTCAAGCGCAGCGACGACGACGAAGACGTTGGCTCCGAGGACACGGAAACATGTGCAAAGAGGCGGCGAGAAGATGCGACGGTGGAAGACCCCTCGTCTGACGCCACGCCAGGACCCAAGCGACAAAAGACTTCGCCGACAAAATCGCACGAGTCAAATCTACTTCGCAAGACGACGCTAAAAAAGGCACATAGCACATCATCTTTGCGCCAGGAAGTTCCAGTCTCAAGCATTGAAGATGCTGGAAACAGCCTGGCTACGCTGCCGCAAATATCACGCGATATCCGCAACCAGCAGCGCGAAGGCTTTCTCACAGTAAACACGGATGAAACTATTTCGTCACGCGAAATCTCTCCTCAATCATCAATCGCGGCAGCCTCGCCCAAGTCTGCAGAGTCAACGGATGCCACGTCGATTGATGACGATCATCCGCAAGAAGGCGGCGAACCGAAAGACAAGATTGAGATTGGCCCGGAAACCATGCACCATCAGCCCGCATTGGAAGTAGCAACAGTGAAGGAGGAAATCACTACTACGACTACGGTAAACGCCCCGTGGCCCTCCCCACCCGCAGAAGAACAAGACAATATGTCCGATCTCAGCGAACTTTCTGAGAGTTTCGAATTTGACGATAAGAATCAGCAGATTGTCAAACGCAAGCCACGACCGACGTTTCGAACCACTCGCTCCAAATCGCGCTTCGACGTTCAGAACCGTGTGGGAACACCGATAACCATCGAAGAAGGTGATGAGGCCGACTACATTGAGAATCCGCGCAAGCCAGGTGACTACATGACCTCGAATGCTGTGCTCTCGGCCAAGTACTCAAAGTGGGTCAACTGCCACACGTGCGACACAGACTTTGTTCAGCAAGACGGCTACAATACTCGCAAGGACTGTCCGCGCTGCGAACGCCACTCAAAATTGTACGGGTTTGCCTGGCCAAAGACAGAAAGAGAGGGTAAGCATGACAAGGAGCAGCGCATCCGCGACCATCGTACTGTACATCGCTTCGTCGATCCAGACGAGGAGCGCCAATTGAAGCGTGACAAGGTCAAGAAGATGATCAAAGAAACTATCAAAGAGCGGTTTTCAACACCCCGCAGTGCAAGGGACACGATGAGTTCGAGCGTCGACATCGATATCGGCAGAAAGAGACGAAGAATCAGGAAGACTATGTAGCAGTAACGTTTACAAGAGGGAGTGGCAAGAGCTGGAAAGAAGGAAAGAGACTTGACATCACTTCTCGCTTTTTGAAACGAGTTCTATTTGTGAAAGCATACGAATCTAAACGCATTGGCAGGAGTTTACGTCAGCACTTGCTTTTTTATGGCACAGAACTGTTGGGAGAGCGACTGCATCCAGCAGTTATTTTTTTCTCCTTTCTTTATTCTCCTTGGTTGCATTTCTGCACTCACTTCTTTCCGGTTTCTCAATTGCTTTTTTTTCGCTCGCCGGTCCTTTTTGTTTTGCCACACCTTCCCTCTACCTGTACATTGCAAGGCGTGGTTTTGACGCAACCAAGTTTTACATACACACTACATACATATCGAAAAAAGCATATAGCGAAGGCGCTCGGGGAAGGACGGCGTGCCGCATGTATTATACAGACAGAAAAACCAGATGCGACCATGTCACTCAACTAATTGGTCGTCTTGTAATGGCACAAGTTTCCGAAAGACCAGTTGGAAAGCGGAGGGTAATAGTTTGAAAGTATGTGGCTGGCGAGTTTCTTTTCCTTTTATTGTCACTTCCAGCTCCAAACAGCAGCCAGTCAAATCACTTTCTGGAATGACGTTATGTAAAGCAGTCCTTGGATCGACTGGTACCATGCACGACACCTATATAACCGCTTATATCAATACGAACAAAAAGCGACGGACCGTATCGCCACCGCCACCGCCGCCATTACCACACAATCTCGAATACGACAGAAATGAACAAATGACTAACACGATGCTCCCAGGGCGGCCTTGCTGCAAAAGTAATCTACACACGTCTTCTTCGCCACGGCAACCGGGTACCGCAGGACATGAGTTTCGACATGAAGCGAGATGATTAACAAAACAGCCTATATTATATAGCACTGCTCTCTCGCCCCTGCTGGTTGGCCCAGTCTAGTGTCATCCAGGCCAGACAAGGCGATAGTCCCGACCAGGCCAGCCCCCTCCGATGCAAATCTACGATATTACAACCGGGACAACAATCTCCACAAGTCTATTCTCAACCCTTTGATGTTCTGGAAAACTTTGCAACTTACGGTTGTGGGAGAAAGACCAAATCCAGCCTGTCCGGCCGTGCAGTCCAGGTTATTCGCGGCAGTCGCTTAATTTGGATAAATACTTGTAGGACCGGCGGGTGCGGATGGCGACAACGAAGGGGGATTGAGGCGGGGAAGATTGAATCTAGGCTTGGGAATTGTTCTGAAAAAGTGGCGAGAGTGACTGCATTAGCCATGTTTTTGTTTGTGTGTCGTGGTCGTTTGGGCACTGGGGGAGGAGCGGGATGTGTGGCGGTATTTGGCATGGATAGATGAATTGTTGGATAGCCGTTGTATAGATAGATTGAAAAGATACATTTATTACAAAAGGTGAGGTGACACTGCAAAGAAGAAGAAGAAGAAGCGTCTTGTAAAATTCTTATTTACAGCCAAACTACACTTCTTCTTCTTCTTCGCCCGTTCTTCTATTCCCTTCCCGTAATACGCAAAACACACCAAATATGCATACCTCCAACAACGTCTTCGCCCTCGTCGCCCTGCCTCTCCTCACCCAAGCCGCTGCTGCTCCCCCCACACCTCCGACAATCACCCGCCTCGTCTTCTCCGGCACCGGCTGCCCCAACGACTCCAACTCGGTCAAACCAGATTCCAGCATCCTCGCCGACGCAGCAAGCGTCACCTACTCGCAGCTCAAGGGCTCCTCGACAGACAACTGCGGCGTGCACATTCAGTCGTCCGGCGCGAGCCCCGGCTGGCAAGTAGCGGTGCGCCAGGCCGAATACGTGGGCGACGTTGTGTTGAAGGGGAACAGCGGCTTGGATACGTATACGCAGGTTTTTTGGAGTGAGAATGCGGGGGACACTGTGCGTTTGTTTTCTCTCTTTTTTTTCTCCTTGTTCTCTTTACCTCTTCCTATTCGTTACTTACAAGTACACTTTGTGCTTTTCCTTTTTCCTCTTCTTTCTTCTTTTTTTTCCTCTTGCCCTCCGACGCATAGACCAGAAGAAAAAAAAAAGCAAAGACTAACTGTCTATGTAACACGCAGAGCGTTCTCACAGGCGGACTTACGTCTGCGGGCTCCGACGTCAGAGACTCGGTTACGGTCAGGAGTAATAATGCGGCGGAGCTGAGCTGGTCCAGGTGCACGGGTGCAGATGGGAACCCGGGGATTCTGAATGTCAATTTTCGCCCGGTGGTGCAGGGGGATTACGGGACGTATGATTTTAAGCGGGCGAGCTGGAAGCTCGAGTGGAGGAAGTGCTGAGTAGGTTGGGATTGGATGAGATGGGGGGGATGTTGAGGGGCGGTTGGTGGTGGGGACGGCAAAAATGGGGGTTGGTCCGATTGAAAAGATTTTGTGTTATACAAGTTTTACTGTATATTGCTTTTCTTGTAGGTACTGGTGTGGGTGTTTAGGGGGGGGGAGGGGGGATCGAGAGCGAGGTTTGGTGCCATTCCCCAAAACTCAAAAAGTGAAAACCAGAGCAAGGCTAAGTATGGGAATATGTCCAAAGCTCGCTGAACACAAACGCGCCTCTCCGCATTCTCTTCTCAAGCAAGATGCGGAAAAACCCCCCCATTCTTAGATACCGCCGCCAATCACATCTCATCAAATGTTCCTCGGTCCATAGATGCCCGCCTTCTCCACCACCAACTCCAGATTATCGCCTCCCAGCCCACTAGCGTTGAACTTGCTCCGCCAGCATCCCTCTTTGCCATCTCCAGCTTTCTCAAGCGCAATAACCTTGTCATTTAGGTCCACCAGGTCCTTTTCCTGGAACAGCCTAGTCGAACTATTGGTTGGGTTCTTTTCGTGACCGAGCTCAATCTGAAGGCTTCTGGCTGCCTGGTTAGCAGCCTCACGAGTCGTATATACCTCTGGGTATCCGTGTGGATGGTATACTCGAATAGGCTCTTGTTCAGTCTCTTCACTGTTGATCGTCTCGGAGTCTGACGCTTCGCACTCATCGGGTTTATCGGCGTCGGGCATTTCGATGAGCTTGAACAGGCGGAGAATGTAGCCCGTGTTGGAAATGAACGGTGTGCCCTTCAAGGACTGGGCAGTCTGGTTCGCGTGCTTGGAAACGCTGTTGCGCTGTACATAGATCATGGTATGGTGTTTTTTCGCAGGACAGTGAAAAGGTACTATGGTGTTTGTGAAGATCATGCAGCCATGTTCATCTCGCTTGCTGCTGCGCTCAACCGTCATGTAGTGAGGATGTCTCTGAATATTCTGGAACAATCTTTCGGCCTGCGCATTTGCCTCGTCGATGTTGGTAAATTGGCGCACAGTGATTTCGCTCGTAGATGCCTCGTTCTCGTCTTGCTCGTCGGACCAATCTTTTTGGAATATCGAGTACTCAAAGTAGGGCTCTGCGTCTTTGGAGACCTCTGGAGTTTGAGCGAGAACCAGAATATGGTTGCTGATATCCCGTGCCGCATCCAAAGTCACTGCGCTTGCAGCTGGTGGCGGAACTTGCGGTATCATGCACACCACAGGCGCCGTCAATCGATTTGTAGGCGGTGTAGTGGGCTCCTCTGAAGAAGCCTTCAGGCTGTTCTCAACCCCTGAAGCTTTCTCAAGTGCACCAAACAGCTCGGCACTATCATTTGCCTTCATTGAATAAAATATAACCTCACTTGTGCGCTCTTGAGCCGTATTTCCCTTCTCGGAGCTTTCGGCACCCAAACCGGTTTCACTCCTAGAAAGCTCTTCAATAATGACAACCTCTGGATCGTAAGTCGTTACATTCTTTGTGCATGGAGACGCAGAAAGAGTGCCTTCTGAACTGTTCTCGGTGATGGTAATAGGAACCAACGGGTAATCATATCCATAGTTGAAGCTAGAGTTCTTTGTCGGAGTCACATTATCGTAGCGTTTTCCGGTAGAAGGGGACACTTTCTCGACCTTCTCTTTTTCAAGTGAGGGGGTAATGGAGCTCGCGGTTGGCCTGGAACTAGTTGCCTTTGCAACGGATTCGAAAGTCCTTTTGGCCTCTGTAGGTACGGTGCATGCAGTATTACCAAAAATTGCTTTGGGTATTTTGTGAGCTGAACTCAAGTTTTGCGACCGTACTTGCTTGCTCTTTGGGGGCCTGGAGATGGAAGAAGACACAGCTGTCTTCTCGGAAGATGCAGTCTTGTTGAATCTACCAGAAATGTAGGGATGGTTTTGCTTTGTCCGAACCTCCTTGAAAGAGGGGGTATCTGAATCTGAAGCATCTGAGGATTCTGAAGATGTTGAAGATTCATCCGAGGCACCTGAGAAATGATGAACGGCTTTTGAATCGTATCTTTCATCCTGATACTGCAGTTGCACTTTGTTCGGCTCTGACCTGCTCGGAACACGGGGTTCAAATGTTGAGCTTTTCAATTTTGGAGTGAGGGAACTTTTGGTCTTGGATAGAGTTGACTTTTTGAATACTTGGTTGGTTTCAGTTGGCAAACTTCGAGGGAACTGCTGTTGATTTGGCATATGCTTCATCTTGGAAGGATTCCGAGAAATGAAAGACTGATCTGAATTGGCGTATGCGGAGCCGTTCGCGGTGATCTGCGCAACGTCTTCAGACGGGAAAATACCCCGGTTCTTCTTTTTCTTGCCTTTTATACCGATATCAGCCCCAAGTGCCGTGTTGGGCGCTAACACAGGCCTTTGCTGTTGTACATGGCGGTCATATGGTGTGAATGAATCTTTTGCAGCATGGTGAGATTTAAAAATAGGGTCCATATTCCGTGATGCAATGTTTGATCGTCTATCAACAGTAATTGAAGATGAGGTTTCCTGGGTCGGGACTGACGGAAAAGTCTGCCGTTCGGCAGTTTTCACCTTCCCATCTCTGCCTAGAAGCGCATTGAGACGGGATTTATAGGTTTCGTTGGTCGGGACGGTTGCAGTCGCCGGCCCTGCCCGTAGTGAACTTTGCATCGCAGTTGGCGTCTTGAGTGGCTTGGGAATATGATGGCCGGGTGGCTTTGACTGAACTTTGAATTCAAATTTTGAATCATCGCTGTCATCGCTATCGTCGTCGTCGTCGTCGTCATCGTCGCTGCTTTCATCGCTCTCACTGCTCATCACAAAACCGCCTTTGAGATTGGGTCGCTTCGCAACACGGCCTCCAGCGAGCTGTGATAATGGCCGCTTCATCGGTGTATCAGGTTTCTTCACTGCCTCCTTCAAGAACTGCTTATATTGGGAATACATGATTCATGGATCTCGAAGGTCGCGGTTGATATTCTCAAGAGGATGTCGTATGCTCTGTGAGTGTAGACTTGACTTCTCAAATTGCAGGCGCAACGCTCAATTCAAGTCTGTAAGTGGTGATGGTCGTGGAGAATCGATTCGAACAATCGAATGCAAGTTCCTTCGGATAATGGAATACCTCAATGGCGCAGTAGTTTTCTCGTTGTTCTGCGATGTATTTAGTGGGATTTTTTTTGGAAGAGTGGGAGTGCTTTACATGTCCAGATTTGGCGAAGCAATCGCACTTGGAAGAAGTGTCCATAGGTTGACTTACCTAGTGAGATTCGCTCGCTATATTGATAGCCAGGTCATGGCAGGTCGTTGTACAGTTGCCGTCAACCAGATCGTCAAACGAGATGAGAGGTGCTCATGTAAGCATGTGTTGATATATTGATGCTCGAAACAATCACTTTTATCGTTATATACTGGCTTTCAGGTCGTGTTACTTCGAAGCAGTGTGGAGAAAGTGAAACCTTTGCGGGCAGGTAAAGGCGGTCTTGGCGGACGTGAGATTGACGTGATGCACGTGATACTACCACATGCGTATAACAAAAAGCCTTTCTGATCCATAGTATCATCAGTGAACAGCGCACTCTACTTGCTCACAGGAGATATTCTGCTCTCAGAATTACAACTTTAAGTCTAATAATCAAGGGGATCATCGTACATCAAAGAACGGCATACAGCGTGATTGGAACAATAGGGAAAATCGCTGCCTGTAGCAATCATAGCGACATGTTTAATCAGGCAAGATCTATAGCAAGCCTAGATTAGACGATCTTTTCGCAATCATTATGATTGTGATTAGGTTAGACTGCATCTGTCACCGAACAATGAACAGCCATGTATCTTATGCAATCGGAAGATACGCCTCATTCCATTCGACTTGGTCGTAGTAATTCGAGAAAATGTCAGCAAAAACTTAACTTGAATGCTTTACACAACAAGGATGATATTCTGAAGCTAAGCAGGCTAAGGAACACACAATTCGAACGCATGAGATAGCAAGTCGTGTTAGGATTTGGCATTATGGACATAGCGGAGAATTCCGGAATCGTCGAAAGGGTCGGATTACCGAATGTCGATATTGAGCCCACAAAAGTACCAGCGCAAACGCGTGCGCCCTGCTGAGCTGGTTGTCCCGCAAGGGTCAAAATCAGGGAGCGTGTTGTGAGTAATAACAAATTCCAATGGTCTAACAATCCGGGAATTACTTACAGTCTAAGCTCAAGCAGAGGGGTTCGCGCTAAATGAGCTAGTGATTTATTATTATTATTATTATTCTAGTTTAACGTCCTTTTTCAGCCCGAAGGGCTATATAAGACGTGTAGGGTTTTTAGGCCTACAAGTATCTAAGTAGGTTGTTTCTAGCTACGATATTTAGGAGGGGTTTTAACTAGATAAAGGTGAGGCTCGTAGCCTATTAGTTGGTAGGTAGGGGGGGATAGGGTAGGGGAGGTGTATGGCTACCTGTTACAGGTATTACTCCTCGTTTTCTGTGTTTCCTTTGTACTAGGCTTGTGTTCTAGCCTTTGTTTCTTGAATAAAGGTAATAGTTGCTTCTATACCCTCTTTTGTTTGAAGGAGGATAGGTAGTAATAGATCGCCTTCGCAGGCTTCTCTTAGTCCTTTCCTTTCCTCTCTATATAGATTACATCTAAATAGAATATGAGGTAGGTCTTGTATAGACCTATAGTTGCAGGGGCAACTATTAGAATCCACTTTCCCTCTCTTATATAGGTAGTCCCTTAGGTAACAGTGCCCTAGTTTAAGTTAGTAGAAAGCGCTAGAAATCTCTCTTCTAGTGTTGCTAGGAATAGCGATTTGCTTTCTTATCTTCCACTTATATTTTGCTGCGTACGTATGTGGATTCTTGCTAGTGGCTTTTTTCCTA